ACACTACAGGGATTTTCTCAATTTTCTCAAAAAGTCGTTTTCGGTCCGAGAAATTCCAATAGTTTACGATTTTTCGCAACGAAATCAACTTTCTGGTCCTTTTCGACAGTGACCCTTCCGTTTTTGAACAGTAGGTTCAGGGCCCGCACGCGCGCATTTGACTTCCGAACTCCTTTAAAATCGGATTGTGTACGGCACCATATTTCCTTGAAGTCCATTTCTCGTGTGTCCTTGTCGTCACGGTGTGTTTAACACTTCTCCATCCTGTATTTATCCAAAAACAATCGAGCACGGTGGGCGATGGCAAGGAGGATTCTGTATCACAAAGTCAGTTTAAAATTTTTGGAAATCACAATGATACGAGTATTAGTGCTGATTAAAATCTGGATGAGCTATCGGGCTTTGTAAAATGTTAATAGTCGTGGCAGAGTTCGGTTTTTTGTCGGGATCCGGATGGATGTGGCTTGTTTATTTCTTCGGCTTCTTCGTCGGCTTGGGAGACTTGACGGCAACGGGCCTGCATCCCACGGCGATCCATTTAGCATAGCGACACGGTGCACATCTACCTAAAGATTTTTTGAATGTTGGTGCTCAAGTTAAGGTCACCTTTTCCTTTGCAGTCGCATTTGCCGTCGGTGGCTGCCACTGCGCGGCCGTCCCGTCTGAAATGAACGTTGTACTTTGGAGTCGCTTGCTATCAGAATGTGGAAATTCATAAATACCAAATAGCAGAATTTAGAAAAAACTTTTGGAAGTACAAAATTTTTCCACCCCCGTTATTTCTTTTTGCCCCCCCGCTAAGCAACCTTTACCCGAAACTTGACCAAAGACGAGATTGGTTAACAAAAGTGTTACTTGAATCCAAGCTGCTCGAAAAACTGACCCACAGTCCCTTGTGCACCGGGTGCACAACTGCGCGCCATATTTCGATGACACTGTTGTAGCCGTCGAGCATTTTGCACACATACCATCCTGCAAAATACATTTGATGGCCAAATTCCAAAACCCACCACTTTCGTTGACGGTCGGCAGCACTTGGACCGAAGCCTCTGGCTCCACTAAAAAATACGTATTTTCCAACATTTGGGCAATTGATGTAGAAAACTAAAGCCTGTTTTTATGAAAGGAGGGTACTGTACTCTTAGCAGGGGGCCTGCGAAAGAAATAATGCTGTTTTTAGAATATCTGCTGCATTTTGACAGTGTTTTTGCGGATTTTTTGCATGGATTTTTGTGGCAAAAATTTGTGAATTAAAATGCCTTGTTTTCTCGCCTTTTCGAGAGCTTTCGATAGAGCCCTCAATCGTCAAAATCGGACAAGACTGCGGCCCTTTAGAGGGGGTGTTTTTTGATTTGCACACCACCTTGTACATTTTTACCAAAAAGCTAAACGGTTTCGGGAGTTATTTCATGTTTCTTTTATTCGAAACTGTGTAAAATGCTATAAAAAATGGCCTTTACGTTGTGTGCAGGCCTGTAGTGGAAATGAGATGAATATATGGGGATCCCCCCTGCTAACAGTCAAGTACCCCATGATGAAAACAAGGGTGCACCAACCCGGGAGAAGTTGCTGGAGTTGGTCGTCTGCCATCCCGATTCGTCGGTGGGTCGGTAAGTGGGGTCGTTGGCCGTTCCGGATGACATCTGGAATTTCCCCATTTTGTGGTTCGATGGGGGGGTGGCGGGTTTTGCAGGGGAAACCAAATTTTTCCCTGTGATTCTCAACGGCCCTATAAGGAAATGTCAAACTATTTTGATATCATTTTACATAGTTTTGAGATATAAGACCACGATAAAAATATGCATATTTTCGATAAGTCGATTTTTTCACCAAAATTGGATAAAAATGACCAAAAGGTCAACAATTTCGAATTTCCAAACTTTTTAACATAATTTTTATAACTTTCTAGCAATCAAAAACTGCTAACTTTAAAGACCACCAACAGGTATAAGTGGAAAGACAAAAAGCGGTTCCCCCCTCGCTGAAAATCCCCTTGTCCCCCGCTAACAGTCCAGAACCAAAGGAATTTCTACCAGGAGCATCGAGGCGTTTGATGTGCGGGAGTGCTGGGTATCATCCAGATTGGTGCTGAAGATGGCGGTTGCGTTGGAGGCCGCGGACGTCTGGTCCTGTAAAAGTTCCTTTTATGCTGATGGAAGCGGAGTAGAGAGATAGAGAGAGAGAGAGAGAGCGAGAGAGAGAGAGAGAGAGAAAGGATGTAAACATACCCACGAAAAGCCGTGCACATCGCGGGGCATCTCATTGCTGCTGCTTGTGGAAAAGCTCGAATTGCTCGGAGGGCGCCGAATCTGTAATACATTATATCTGACCAGCAAAAGTGTGTGTGTGTGTGAGAGAGAGACAGAGAGAGAGAGAGAGAGAGAGGGAGAGAGAGATACCTCGGGGATGCGGCCGGTCGCCGTCGGCGTCATGGTGTTTTGGACGCACGTCATCTAGAAATGGAGATAAAATCAATTGAAAAATCTCATTCGAGCTCAGCTAAGCAAGTGCCGCGGGGTATTTTTTCTACTCGACCCAAAATGATCAATTTGTGACTTTTCAAAGCACGGTTTTGACTTTCTCTGAACGCTTTTCTACTTAAAATTTAGCTGAAACTTATTTTGCATCTTATGCAAATTACACACAAAAATAAATAAAACCGGATTGAACTTTGTAATCTTGAAAATCTTGAACTTTAAGGCATTTTACGAACGGGAAGGCCCTCAAATCGGGCTTCGAAAGTGACACCTACAGACACACACACATACAGACGCGCCAAAATTATATAAGGTAGGATTGGTTAGTATTTATTGAAGCAAAGTAAAAAAAACATTGCTAACGATGGAAAAAGCGAAATGTGCACAGTAATTTTGTGATTAATTTTGTGTGATGTGATCAAGACCAACAAAAAAATAGGAAATGCGTACCTGCAGGTATTCCGTGTTCGTCGTTCCGTCCAGGTCGTCGCCGTTTAAGAACCCCATCCGTTCACTTTCGTCGAAGCCATCAGGGATGCGTGCCTGGAAAAGTAGCGCATTTTTGCTAGTCGTGGTAACGTTGTGTGAGCAATAAATACAGGGAGAAAGAGAGCGATTTCTACCTGTAGAATGGAAGCAAACGATGAGCCCGAGTCCTGGGTGTTCTCCACATATACACCGACGTCGGTGGACGGATTCGTGGCCGCGATTGTTTTGTCCTGTAAAAGTTCTTTTTATGCTGATGGGAGCGGAGTAAAGGGAGATAGAGAGAGAGAGACAAAGTGAGAGCGAGAGAGAAAGACAGAGAGAGGGAGATAGAGAGAGAGAGAGAGAGAGAGAGAGAGAGAGAGAGCGAGATAGAGCGAGAGAGAGATAGAGAGAGAGATAGAGAGAGAAAGAAAGAGATAGAGACAAAGTGAGAGCGAGAGAGAAAGACAGAGAGAGAGAGAGAGAGGGGGGGCAAAGTTCCAACATCCCCTGACCTGCCAAACGATTTCGATGACGTCGTCTGGCTCGTATCCAACTTCTTTCAGCTGACGCTCGTTGTTCAGTACCTTAGTAACTCAACATTAAATCGTTTTTGTAAAATTCCAACTTTTCCACGAAGCCTGAGCCGAATGGAGCCATGCGGATGGCCGGCGGGGTCCGTATCGTTGATCATCGTCTGGATGGCGGAGATCTGTAAGAAAGGAGGTTCAATGACTCAGACTTGTCGACACTTGGGAGCTAATTTTCCATAATGGTTAGAAGGGATACCGAGAAGCCATCTTGAACTTCCATTTGGAAGAACTCGTCGTTCGTGGAGCAGAAGGTGACCAAGACGAATGATTCTGGAAATATTGATTGAATAAAAAGAGTGGCAAGAAAGCAGTGGCAGAGAGAGAGAGAGAGCGAGAGAGAGCGAGAGAGAGAGAGAGAGAGAGCGAGAGAGAGAGAGAGACTAACAGAAAAATACAGAGAGTGCGAGAGACGCAGATATGCTGAGAGAAGGCGAGCGAAACCCACCAGGTTGGCGCGGCTGGTTCCGCGGGGCCTTGGGCGGAAACTCGTGCGGGGTGGTCCGGAGAAGACTGGCCGATCCTTGACCTTCATCGTTGTCGGAAACGTTCACCTGAAATGGTCACCCTTCAGTGAGTTTTGACTAGAGAGAGAGAAAGAGAGGGCGTGAGAGAGAGCGAGAGACAGAAAGAGAGCGAGAGAGACAGAGAGAGACAGAGAGATAGAGCGAGAGAGAGAGAGATACCGGGTTCCCATTGATCACCAGCTTGCGTATCTGCGGGCTCGCCGTCTCAGTCCCGGATGTCTGCTGGGTCTTGAAACGGAGATGGAAAGTAAGAATAAATTCCCTACTGCCTGGATTGTGACATCCAAAAGTGTACGGTCGGGTCCGGCTTGCACATCTCGGGACCTCGGGTTTTTCGGTGTTGACGTTGCGCCCTAAAAAAGCGTGCTTGCGAGCGGTTACGGTATTTTTGCGTCGTGCCCAATTAAGTATTCGAAAGTTCTGGACTGTTAGCGGGGGAGAAGCACTTTCGGTTGTTCCACCTATACTTGCGTGTTGATATTATATGAGCTTTTTAGAGCGTTTTAGCAGCTTTTGCTTGCTAGAAATTTATAAACATATCTTTGAAAGTTTGAAAATTCGAAAACTTTGACCTTTTTTGGGATTTTTCATACATGCATTTGCGAAAATTTTTATTATTTCTTGGGTTTGTTTTATGATTTGGTTCCTCCAACGCTAACTGTCCAGAACCCGAAGGCTTACGGGTTGAAACGGCTCGGTGATGTCGTGCGAAGCGTGGCGAGACGGTCGGTAGTCGGTAGACGAAGCATTGGCCGATGATGCATGCATTTTGGGCGGCGCGTCTCTTTCCTGGAATAACCGGCATCCAAGGAGTGAAACAATCGCATACCTTCATCAAAACAACGATGATAGCTGACCCCTCCTGGTAGCCACAACCTCCGAACACCTCAGCGTCTTTTTGGAGCGCCTGGGAAATATGAAATACTTCGTTTTTTTCGAAAAGCAGACCTTTCCTTCATAGATGAGCATCATTGGCGCGTTGGGTCGCCCCAGATATTTTCGGACGATTTCCTTGACATGACCAATCTGTAAAGGAGCCATTACTGCGCCGATTACTGTCCCAAATAGCCTTGATACGCCTTAAAAATTCAAAACGGGTACCGTATCAGTTGGCAGTACACGCATCAGCCAGCGGTTGCCAAGGGTCTTGAACTGCACTTGCACGGCCTCGTCATTGGCTAAACATGTCGGCAATCAATGGGCGGAGCGGAGAGGGAGAGAGAGAGAGTGAGAGAGAGAGAGAAAGAGCGAGAGAGAGGAGAGAGAGGAGAGAGAGTGGGAGAGAGTGTGAGAGAGTGGGAGGGAGGGGGGAGAGAAGCAGAGAGATCAAGGCAACGACCAAAACCGACGCTTGACTCCATGTTCAACGCGAGGCTGTTCGTCACTGGCGGGGCGCTGACAGGCGGAGATGGTAGTGGTTGGCGAGGCCGAACTCCCTTCGACGGACACGGCGTTCTGCTGCAGCCACGGGAAAACGCGTGGCATCTGAATGGATACAGAAAATTGTTGGGCAGAACCCACTTTTTTGTACAAGTCTAGAAATGAGAATCTAGAAAGTAAGTTAATGGAAAGTGTTTTTATAGTGTTTTCAGAAATATTTACACGATTTAAGCTAGAAAACAAAGTTAAAAGAGATAGTTAAAAACTTGAAAAATTCAAAATTTTGATAAAAAATTGGCCTTTTTCGTCGAAAAATCTGTTTTTTTAATATTATTTTATAAAAACTTGTAAAGTTTTGACGCTTAGCAGTAGGAAAAAGCCATTAAGAAACAATTCCACTATTTATATTTGCAGATGAGATTCTAAGAAAATTTTTTTGGTAAATACCGGTAAGATCATTTTCCGCTCCGGCAATTCCCAGACTTGAGTGTTGTGGCCCAGCCCTCCGAGACGATGTTGTAGCACTTTGTTCCCAAGCGAAACCTCTTCTTCGGTCAGTTTGCGCTAGAGTGACCATTGTTAATTCGAGTTTATCTCAACAACACTCACCTGGCCGTCAAGTTGCTCCGCCTTCAAAACTCTGGCCATGTGTGCGGAGCGGATTTTCTCGAGGAATTCCGGTCGTCTTATCTTGGCGTAAAAGATGAGCATCTGCAAAGGTAAGCCGCTTATGGATATTTTAAGCATATAACGCTTGTTTGAGCATAGCTCAGACCCAGGCTTAGCTTAGGCTTAGCTTAGGCTTAGGGAAAACCTCACCTGATACATTGGCTCAATGCCCACATCTTGATACGCCTGCGCCTCGCGCTCAACTTCTGCCAAGAGCACGTAAACTTCCATCGGGATGTCGGGTCGTGGTGGGGCAGCATCGACGTCGTCATACTGAAAGAATTGAAGAGTTGACGGTGCTGGTCTGCTAATGGGAATTTCTTTGGCATTATCGAGGGGGGGAGAGAATTCTTTTGTATTAATCTAGAAACGCATAGTAACTTCATCCGAATCTTTTCTACATAACGCTTGAGTAAAAGGCTTTGAAATTTTATCAAAAAGTTCAAATTTTGAAAACCGAAAAATCGTGGGTTTTTAACAAGCCTACTTGTTAATAACAATTTGTAAAGTTTTTGCGTTTAGGAATAGAAAAATGGCGTATAGAAACACTTTCCATATTGATATTTTAAAAAATGATTCCTAAGAAAAAATTTTTCCTTCCCCCCTGTTAATGCGAAAGAACCAAAAAATAAATTGCAAACCGGACCCGAAAAAACGATATGCGCGGCGTCGACATGACCTGGCTTCCCATTCTGACGAGTTCTCGCACCTTCTCGCCCCATAAATCCTTGATCTGCTGCTCAGATGCGATGTATAGTTGTTCCAAGCGCTGCACCAACACGACAAACAAGTATTCCTGCAAAAGGTTTTGTGGCCCTGCGTGAAAAACAACCTCGCGCAAGAAGGAAGTAAACACTTCGATCTCGGCCAAGTAGCATAGGTGCACGGCAAGGAGTAGGCTCGCGTCGAGGCCTTGTTGACGATGTAGCCGGCTGCCCTGAAGCGCCGTATGAAGCTAAGTACCATGAAAAGGAAGCGATTGAAAGAGAGAGAAAGACAGAGAGACTTTTTAAAATTCCCGGAAATTGCAACTTTTCAAAATTTCAAAATTTTGATCCTTTTCGGCATTTCTTACATTTCTGACCAAAAAATCCAAAATTTTCGAAAATTTTGTTATTCTTTGAAATTGTTATATTATTTTTAGATCTAAAAACCATGCCGAAATGCTATAAACCTGGCTTATAGTATATATTACAGGGCCGTCGAAAATCACAGGCAAAAATTTGGTTGTCCGCCTGCTAAAAATTGTCCAGAACCACATTCACAATTGAAATCCCAAATCACCTTTTGGACGATCTGCTCGAAAAGCTGGTCGAGTATCGCCCCGAAGCCCATCCCTCCGAACGCCGCAAAAACCCAGCGAGTCGAGTGATCGGACTTTCTACAGCCTGCGTTACGGCAGAAATGAATATGCAAATTAGCCGATTCTAACATCGATGCAAATGGAACCACGATCCCTCCTGGTTATCAAACTTGCCATCCAGAGCATTTCTTCGCAATCCAGTAGTAGTCATCCCGCATCTGAAAGTCTCCAAAAACCACCCGATTTTCGCTGTTTTCAGGATATTTTAGCGTATTTTTAACAATTTCGCCTTGAGCTTCTCGTCCGCAACATATTCCGACAGCATGCGGATCCTTATGCTTCATTTTTCTCAACTATTCAGCATTGGTCATTTTATCAGGCTGCAGATCTGGGTGACGATTTTATTACGAGGACATACTACGGGCGATAGGATTTTATAACCTGGATAATCCACCGTAGGCCGGTAAATCTCGCGGCGGAGTCGCCGATTTCCATGGATTTCATTCTTCGCATGGTTTTATTGGGTTCTTCTTACCCGTTTCTGATCCGATTCTTATCAACAGAAAAAGCAAAAAGACGTGTCTATTTGTCTGATTTTCATTTTCTGGCCGCGCTCTATCCGGATTCGAAGAGGCGTAAGCTCTAGCCCCTTTCCCCGTCTAGTTGGATTCTGCAGGGCTCACGCCTTAAGAAAAGTATTATCCATTAACAGCCGATTACAGCCGCGTCGCGGCTGTAATCGGCTGGCCTTCGGGCTACCTTCCATATTCTACACCACCACATTCCTTCTCTAACTTTATCAATATCCGTGCTGATGGCTCCAAACACGCCCCATAGCCGAAATCCCCTTTAAAAAATACTTAGATACGTTCCTGATGGCTTCAGATACCCCCCATGGCTAAAATCCCCTTCAAAAACTACTTAGATACGTTCCTGATGGCTTTAGATACCCCCCATAGCTGAAATCCCCTTCAAAAACTACTTAGATACGTTCCTGATGGCTTCAGATACCCCCCCATAGCTGAAATCCCCTTCAAAAACTACCTAAATACCTTCCTGATGGCTTTAGATACTTAAAATGATTTAAATAATGAATTAACATAAATAAAAAGTATTAAAAAGAATAAAAATAACTGAAAAAAGCTATCTGGGGGACGGAAGGCCCTGCCGGGGAGAGGCCCCCCACTCGTTTTATTAAGGCGCCACTTTCAAAGCTAATTATTTTTATTTAAACAAAAACTTTTTCATAATGTTTTGATCATTTAAGGGGTTTCTGACCACGCTCTATCCGAATTCGAAGAGACCTAAGCCCTAGCTCCTTTCCCCTTCGAGTTATAGTTGGCTTCAGACAGACAGACAGACTGACGGACACCACAGCAAAATTTTTATAGTTGATTATGATTTAATCGTGCTTTCTCTTCTATTCATTATGATTTCTTGCAGCCTGATTTTATTCGCGACTACGTTTTCCAACCTACCATTTTCAGAGTCGTGCTCCTTAAACACGTCACTAACTCGACTTCATGAAGAAATCCACTCGCCCGAGCGCGGCGGTCTTTGCAGGTATACCGATACTGGTTTCCATAAATTCTTTTTAGTGACTTTACTGCTCGGCTTCCTCTCACTCGTCCACCGACCGCTGCCCGTTGGATTCACCGACTGCCTCTCTGACCGCTTTGCCATGCACTTGATCGAGCCGGCCCTCCGCCTGACGTACTACTGGCCCGCAAACTACTTATGCTCGAACGCTCGTTGCCGTCTGACGTGGACCCGTAGCGTGCTGGACACGCTTTCGCGAGTGATTGATCCGCGCAACCTGCTCGATTACGACTCGGAGCTGCAGATTTCGACTGAGGATTTTGCCGGGGTCAAGGTATCAGCACTCGTCTTCGTTGTTACGTTGTTTAGGTCCGCCTCTATCTGCCGAAAGGCAACCGCTCGTCGGATGGGGCTGTTTATTTCGTGCATGGCGGAGGCTTCGTTATGGGAAACACGGAGATTTACGAGGGCTTGATGCGGAGGATGGGCAAAATGTATGATTGGTCATTTTGACTTCATTCATTCGCTTTAGGCTAAGAATGCCGATCGTTTCGGTGGACTACAGGCTGGCCCCGGAAACGCAGTACCCCGGTGGACTTCATGATGTCGAACGTGCGCTCATCCACTTCTTCGAACGAAGCCGCGAATTCGATGTGGATCCGACGAAGATCGTGGCGATGGGCGATTCGGCCGGTGGGAACCTCGTCGCAGCTGTGGCGCAACGTCTGCGCAAAAATAAGGAATTTCGACTTGCTGGACAGGTATTTGTACTAACTTGTTATCACTTGTGTATTAGGTTCTTCTCTACCCCCTGCTGCAGTTCCACAACCTGCAATCCGACTCATTCCGGCATTTTCACCGCGACATGGTTGGCTATGCGCTTGTTGGTACGTTGTTCGTCAGAGTGCTGATCCTCTTGCTTTAGATCCGGTGTCGCTCGCCTATTACTACATGTGGTACGCTGGAATTGACGTTAACCATCGCCCGGCGCTTGCTGAAGCCGCTGTTTCCAACGGACATGTATCCACACGCGTACGAAACCTGACTGGCACTTACACGGACCTGCACAATCTCCCGACCCGCCTGCGACACAAGAATTTACCAACGGTGGCCGCTGTCGTGGAGAACGAGGAAGCCCAGGTGTGTTGTCTCTTATCGTCTAGTATTTCTTTTTCCAGATGTTGATGGAAGAACGCCTTCTTGACCCGTCCTTCTCTCCCTTGATCCAGCACGATCTCACCGGGCTCCCTCCGTCTTTCGTGATGACTTGCCAATACGACATCCTCCGTGATGAAGGTAATTTAACAGCTTTTTACTGTAAAAATGTCCCTAGGTGTCTTGTATGCGAAGCGGATGTACGAGGCGGGCACGGTGGTTGAATGGAAACACTACGACAACGGCTTCCACGCGATGCTCAACTTCCACAACGAACTCTACATCGCACAAGAAGCGCTGCGAGACATTACCACTTGGGTTGAGCGCATTGCTTCGTGATTGTTGATTCCTCTGTAACATTTGTATTGTCATTTTGATTCTGTGTTTGCACTGTTAGTTTTTGGCATGTCACATGCGTATGTTGTCCACGGCGTCTCTATGCTTGTTTTCAGACGATAAAGATTTGAGCTAGAATTGGTTAGAAGCGCTATGTTCTCAAGTCCACAGATTTACCAGATGGAAAAGATCTTCAGACGCCTGGATGATAAGCCTTAGATGCCGCCCAAGCCGAGGAGGGGAAAGAAATCTCCGTCGCCCAAACTGACGTTCAGATTGCCGCCTGCTGTTGGTTCCTCCAGACCATGCTTATGATGATTGTTTTTAGCCGGCCCTTGATGATTCGCTCTTCAACGGATGGGGTGGCCTGCGTGATGGCATTGTGAGCGATGCCTCTTCTCTTATATCTGTTTAGGACACGATAGCGGAAAATACACCGAGAATTACCTGGAACCCCGTGGTGAAAGAGGAAGCTACCGATAACCACGAGGACGAATTTTTGGAGCCTGCTTTGGTTTGTGATGATTTTCAAATGGGGGATGGTTCGAGAGATATCATTGCTAGTAGTGCATTGTTGCTAATTTCTGTTTAGGACTTGAGTGTCACAAAAGTTATCTGGGAACCCGTCGTGAAGAACGAACCTCTCGATAACAACAATGATCATTTCTTGGTATACTAATATTTTTAACATTGCGGTTCTCTTCAAGGCACCGCTTTTGCTGAATATCGGTAGGAAGAAGTCGCCTCAACGGGTCAAGGAGGAGCGTAGTTCATTGGCTTCGCCGTTGCTGCAAACGTCTTTCGTTCTAGAAGAAGCCGAAGAGAACAACATCAGCATGCATGCTATTGAAGTAGGTTTCTCAGCGCTTTCCGTACATTGTATCACCGCCAGGTCGAACAAGATGGTACGCCGTACGTCGACGCACATGCACACATTGATCTGTACAGCCCAAATAACAAATATGTGGCATCTATGGCCGAGCTGAACACTTTTTACAAGAAGTTTGTTGTTATTCCTCGTGCATTCTGGTTTAGAATTCCGTGGAACTTCCAAGGCTTTATTCAGAATCTGGTTTTTCCAGAACATGTGGTCATTGACCACACTTGGATCACTGAATTTTTGACTGTAGGTTTTTATAAAATCAGCTAAACTCTTTCTTAGGAAGGCTACATTATGGGAACCACAATTGGCATGCATCCAAGGCGGGCGGCAGATATTGACAAGTAATTTTGCCTTGGTTTATGAGATTTCTGTTCCTCTTAGGCCGTATCAGTTGAAACTGACGTCGGGCACAGGGACTATGCGTCAACTTATCAAGCACTTTGCTCTCGATGAAACGGCACGAAAAACCTACAAGGTGTGCGGCATCGGAGAGTGTGGTCTTGACTTGATGTAAGATTTCTTCACTCCAGCAATAAGTTATTTAGGGACGGAAAGGAGAGCCTTTTGAAGCAAATCGAGGTTGTGACTTGGCAGTTCGGCATCGCTAGACAAGCCGGGCTTCCAGTCGTCATTCATTGTCGAGCAAAACTCAAAGATGAAATTCTGACGATTGAGGATACTATGATCGAGCTGATCATCCAGGTAGCATTTCCGGTCTCTTGAACTTTTATGTGTATTTAGATCCTTGGTCCGAATTATCCTGTGTATCGGCACTGCGCCCCTCAGACCTTAGAAATTCTGGAAAAATGGCTGCAACGTGTTCCTGGATGCGTTTTCGGTTGGTGATAAAACAAAATATTTTACGTTTACTGTAGGGATCGGTCCCTCCTTTTTGCGTGACACGCCTCCATGCCGTGTCTGCGTGACCAAGATCCCGCTGACTCGCATGCTAGTCGAAACGGATGCACCCTATTTCCAGTCGGAATGTGTAGGTGCTCGTGGAGTTTCCTTCTGATCATTTGTTTAGGAGAAGGACTACCCTCTTACGCCAAAGGGAGCCAAGGTGTTCAAGCGACAGCCCTCAAACCATCCGGCGGCCTGCTCACTCGTCATCACCTACATTGCCAAGCTGAAAGGCAAAACATTTCGCGAGGTGAGACTTTTCGTAGGCAATTTTATTTTGTGTTCAGATCGCAGATATCACCCGTGAGGGCACTCGTCGCTTCTTTCAACTTGACCGGCTGCCGCTACAGTGGTGAGGCTATTGCTTTTCCCCGCCCTATTTCTATTTTTTGTATAGGCACGGCCCACGAAGGCCTCCGCTGTTGAAGGTCGTAGCGCCGATGGAGTGACCTGAAGCTTGGCTACATTCTCCGGGTTCCAAACAGTTTTATGTTTTTATGCTCTGAGCCATGTTATTGTTGCCCGCATGGGAAGATAAAATTTATTTTTATACAACTGTACAACAAACACCCGTGATGGTAAAGACAGCACAATCCTTCAAATTGTAGAGTAATTATGAGTTTGTGAGTAGGTTTGAGAGAGAGAGACTATCACAAATGACTGCTGATGCCCAATGGGGAGACCCGTATCGATATACCGCAAGCTGGAAGTTGAGTGAGCTTCATCGAGGACTAGGAGTCGCTTCTTTGGCGCTAAAAGAAGCACAACAGGAACACGGCTGCGATGATGGCGGAGCAGAGCCGACTTCTTGCTGACGACGAGAATGCCTCGGCTGCAAGATATTCGTGATTAGATGGGATTTATTACACTTACCATCACCGATCTCATGGATTTGGAATTCGACTCGATCGACGAGTTCATTGCCAAGGTGGTCCAGTTCGTAGAGGGAGCGTTGTAGGGGGGGATTCCGGCTCCTAGAAAATAGTGATGATTACGTTTTAAACGACTAACTGGTTGCTTTTTCATTATTTCTAAGATTTTTCGATAGCTCACCATTTTATCTAGCGGTAGCAACGGCAACGGGTCGGCCCATTGTCTCACCCAGCTTCCTTCTGCTGTTGCGGTTGAGACGACCTCATTCGTCGGCGGTTGATAGTTGTACGGCCTGCGATACGGCCGCTCGGGCCGTTGCACAGTTTCGCTGCTCTGTGTTGTCTTGGGTTTCTTGGGCTCCGGTTTTCGGTGGTGATGTCGATGTGGGTGGCCTGGAGAAAGATACTAGCTTTTAAGAATTTAATCTACCTTTTTCAGCAATGTGCACCATCATTTTCATGCCGTCCGACTCGCAGAGGCCGCCGACTTTACGGTCGAGCCCTTCAGATGAGCCATCGGAAGTCGCTGAAAAGGAGATAAGTTATGGTGATTTGATAGTCACTTATAATAGCTAAATTTAGTCAATAGATAATTCATAATGAATTTAATAGGCAGATTTAGATGGCTGTTTAGCTAGATATTTAGGCTTTTCTTAAACCTTAACTTACAGATGAAATAGTAGGTGCGATCTGGGTGATATTCCAGCGCAAATGGATTCGGTGAGAAAGACCGGAAGGCGAGAGAAAGTGACGAGGCTTCTCGTGGAGACACACATCGCCCAGCCTAAAGATATTGTTGATTTTTGACCCCTGGCGCGGTTTTATAATGTTCTTTCTCGTTTTCAGCTACCTCTTTGGCAGTAGGCCCTAGTCGACAGTCAAAGAAGTCGTCCTGCGACACGCGGTAGATGATCGACTGGTGGACGGGCAGGATCGATGAGTACGGGCACACTATTTGTACGCGGTCGTTCACCTCGGCGAAGATTTCTTGCCTGCAATGGGTTTGATAATTTGGATAGTATGGTAATTGTTTTCTAGTTTTTCTGTTAATTTATATTTTTCGATAAGAAAAGCTTAATAGGGGTTTTTTCAGGCGTAGAGTCGCTTCGTTCCGATTTTAAAAAGACAAATAGCATTAGGATTGTAACAATAAGAATAATACCATTATTACGATTTTATACCATTAATTTCCTTAATTTTGCTTTATTTTCCCGGTAATTACTAATTTTCCATAGACCGATTTCTACAAATTTTCAGCACAAGGTTCTCCTGACCACCTCCGCAAGGCGGACCCCACAACTTCAATACGCAGCGACCATCCCCGGATTAATGGAGTGTAGCAGACGATTGCAAGGAGCGACGCTTGTTGCCCATCGATCATCCGGTGGTCAGCCGCAGATCGGGCCGAACCACCGATCGGGAACCGCTGAAGACAGGTGGCCCCCCGGGCATCTGAGGCACCGCGGTGTGGGCTGTGTGTCGCGCCGCACGGGCCGACGAGACATGCCAGATCGCGGCAACTGATTATCGCGTATTATAGCGTGGTAAGACGGGGTACTGGTGTAAGCGATACTCGGAAGTGTATTTGGCCGCAAAAAGCCGTTTTCAAACCCCGGAGTTTAGAATCTGATTCCCTGCCGAAACCCCGTCACAATCCCAGAAATCACAACACTGGCAAGCAAGTGGCTTTGACTGCTGCGCCGACTCATTAGTAGCCCTGGGCCCCCCTAATTGTCGGGAAGCGCCCCGGGGACACAAGCGCGGGCGGCGCGTCTCCCGGAATTTGCATAATTCCCAAAATTCATTCTCTCTCCCTCTCTCTCTCTCTCTCTCTGCCACTCGCAGGGAATGGACAGCGCGATTAGGCATTCACGGGGTTTAGCCGAATTTGACAGTTCCTTGTCGCGGGCGGATGGAAAATTCTGGTGGGTGGGTGGTGGGAAAAGAAATTGAATGCAAATTTTGGCAATTTCCGGCGCGTCATAGGCGCCACAAAAATTCGTAACGGCCGACGGGCAATCGATCAAACAAAAAAACGAAAGTGTCCATAAGAACCCCGAGTATAATTAACGTTGGCCGTTTTTCGCCCGTCAAAGCTTCATAATTTTCTTATTAGGATCGTTTTGCATATTCGGAAAACTGGGTTGTAATGAGCGCAAAATTCTGTATAAGATAGGCTTGGACCCGACTAAACGTCTCCTTGTAAGTCGTTTACTCTCCAGATTAGCGCCCGACCCCCGGCGGGGGGTATCCGAGCAATTTGTTGGCGGAAGACGGTATTTGGTGTGCCTGACCACCACCTGGCCATCTTGGGGCTCATCTGCCGTACGAGACACAGCAAGGAGGCACCTGTCTGCTGGGCTATTGTCCGCTGTAAGACACAATTCACATAGCGCGTTCTGCTGCTCAAATTTCACGCAAATCGCCTCGAATTCGACGAATCTCGGGGGGCAGTTAATGGCCGGGGTTGTCGTGATTGATGGGTGAATGAGTTTAGGGGCTTTTCGTGGGTGATCGAAATGGAAATTAAAATTTAGACTTTGGTATTTAAGGTAATGCCGATTATTTAGAAATCGGTTTTGTGGTGGAATTTGGGTCAAAATTTAGTTTTTTTCAAAGTGAGTGGTCATTAATCTACGTTTTCGCGGTTTTTCAATACTTTTTCGAGAGTTTAGCTAACTTTTCGTAGGATTACAGCGTTTTTGAAGTTTTCTACGTTTTTGGTAGATGTTTTCAGGTCAGATTTTAGCGCTAAACGAGTTTATATTTTTCTATTTAAAAGTTTTCTGAATTTTCTAAGCACTTTTTTGATAGAAATTTTAGTCTATTTCTTAGCTATTCTTAACTTTACAGCTTTACTGGTTTTTTAAAAACGTTTTTCGGCAGATTTTTGGTAATTTTAGCTGGCTTTTAGAATTTGGTTTTATGTATTTAGATTACTTTTTAGCACTTGGTGCGCACCTGGAGAAGCGCCCAGCCGAACAATTGCCAATTATGGCAGCTCATCCCCGGGTGGCCGTGCGTTTCCCCTTATGGCCCAGGGGCCCTGTGGCCCAGATGACGCAACGTTGCCCCGACAAATGCCCCTAATCACAGGCAGGCTATGCTTGCCCATCGGCTGAAATCCGCGAATAATTGGGCCCCTGGATGGCTTGGGCTTAGCCCTTCGGTCAATAGACTTGGCGGGCTTCGATTCAAATTTCGCAGTTCGCTATTTTTCTTGTTTTTCGGGGTGCTAGTAGATAGCAGAAATCAGGATTCAAAGCGTCGAAACGTTATAATGCCGTGAATAGCACTGCCGACCTTTTTGACAATATCGACAAATGCCGACATTGCCGCGATTTGCTAATGCCGACAAATGCCGACATTTTGTAAACTCGACAAAGGCTGAAATTGCATAATACCGACAAAACATTTGGCAAAGCGAAAGATTCCGACATCGACGTTCCATAACGGGAAAAATGCCGTCATTCCTAATACCGACAATGCCGACAAATGCCGAATTTGGGATGCTATTTGGAGATCTCGCGGAACCTTTCAAAAATGCCGAAATTTTGATATTTCGGTATTTCGAAATCTCCAAATGCTGTCATATCGGTATTATGCTATTTCGACATTACGAATTACAGATTTTGAGCTAAATTTAATTTATTTAATTTTGAAAGTATAAGCTCTTTTTAAGGGGACACCAAATTTGCATTGTGGGCCCTTCTACGGGTCGGACAAAGCCACTTCCCCGGCGGGCCTTAAGCCCATTATTACAGGGGGCCCAGTGGGCTGAGCGGCCCGTTTTGATGGACAGTGGTTTAGCCGGCAGTCCCCACGAATCTGCATATTGCCGCCCAGGATCCACCGTTTTATGGCCGCCCCGTAAAGGGTACAGTCCCGTAGCGGGTGTGCCGTTTCCGGCGGAACCCCATCTTCAAGGAGGGCGAAAGTATGCAATTGAGTTTGGGGTGTGGTGGAGGTTTGACCTTGGCGCGAATATGGTGCTGACCCGGTGTGGGTAGGTGCAGCCTATTTCAGGGTATTCAAGCCGGGCGGCCGATTGGCCTACTCTCGCCCTCCGCGAATTTATGGGATTTGTGAGTCGGACTCCTTTGGAATAATTGTCGGGCTGGGGCCAGATGCGCGGTCCGGAATACGGAATCGCGTAGATACTTTCCCAGTCCGTCACATTACTGATTCCGGCGCTTCAAGGGCCCTTTAAAAGAAGCCGCGCCCTCGAGTATGCTGATTGGCCGGGAAGGGAATCTTCGCCCGGGGGCAGCTGTACCGGAAAACGGCTGCGGGCCATACAGCATTGACCCCGGTTAGTGGGTGTCAATGATGGATTGGGGTCTCGACACTATACACCCGGAGGCCACTATGCAAATTTGTCAGTGGGGGCTCTCGGGGAGAAAAACGGCTGAACCGGGGGGTGTAAAGCTGGGGATAATTGAGTGGGCGATACGTTCAGTTTTTCGGCGACTGCGTCTGGCAAAAAATCAGTCCCGTTTACTGAAAAACGGTCCTTTCGCATATCGGGGGCGTTCTTTTTGCTACCATCTTAAAAAATAAATAGAGGGACATGTTTATAAGCTCAAGAATTTTTAACCAGGAAAACTAAAACAAATATCGATCTCTCGACCAAAAGGGGCAGTTTTTATCAAAATGTCGAATTTTTCAAAGTTTTTAGATAGTTTTTCTATTTAAAATATAATTTTGTTTTACTAAAAACATTATAAAAATATTTCCCATTAGGTTACTCGGCATTTTAAACAAAACTCAGAATTTCCCGTTTTCGAGCCTTATATTGACGACCTTTGCCTCCAGCTACAGACCAGTGGCCCCAAAAGGAAAGTTTGGGAATTGCGGGGCCGGTTTCGAGCCCTTTTCGACCTGCTCCAGTATACAGGTATCCGTAATCATCCTCAAATGTAGCAATCAACCTCCCCCGCGCTACCCCTTTGAAATTGGACCCCCGAGATTACGCGCGGCGCCTCGCCGGTGACATCTTAATTCGTGGCCCCTCAACAGTACCCGTGTTGCATAATAGCGTCTGATGAATTGACTGCCCCGCCCGTGGGGGATGAAGTGTGTCTCGGATTGCTGGGCCGCCAATTTAACCGAAAGGCGAGATTGGGCAACAGATCGGATCAGACGGGTGGATCAAGGCACCCCGCGCTACGCTACCCCCCAATTTACGGGGGCTATATGAGACGGCCCAGTTGTGTTTTTTGCCCCGCAATTTATGGCCATTTTAAAGGGGCCGGCAACACGTGTGTGAATGTTTCAACTGGCCGCTCGATTGGCTGTAAAATCGGGGATTTACCGCCGGTCAAACCGAAAATTGATTGGGCTGTCAGAGAGGAGGGGGTATGTGTTTTTGTCAAGGTGTGGGTATTTATATTGCCGAAATTGCAGAAATTCGATATTCGATACGATGAAATTCATAATGCCCAATTCTTATTGTCAGAATACCGAAATGTCAGAATCTGGAAATTTTTGAGAATGCCGACATTTTTAATCTCGAAACTCGGTAATGCCGAAATTCGGTCGTAATGAAATTGATAATACCGACAGACCGGAAACTCGAAATTTCAGAATACCGAAATTTCAAAATGCCAACTTTCGTAATCCCAAGGTCGATAGATTTCAAAACTTGGAATTTATAATGCCTAAATGTCAGAATGCCGAAAGCTCAGAATTCGAAATTCGAATGTCGAAATCTCACGATGCCGAAATTCAAAAGTCGAAATGTCAAAATGCCGAATTTCCACGCTACCGTATGCTGTTTATGAATGCCAATTTGCTTCTGGTCAGGGTTTCACTACTTCAAATTTCCAGAGATGGTTTTCGAAATAAATTCTCGGCGGAATAAAATATTCAGCGAGTGAATTCAATTTACAGAAGCTCAGTGGTTTAGGTTCCCGCCTGCCACTCACAAGGTCCGAGTTCGACCCTCGCCCGCGCCAAAACCCTTTGCTTTTTGCCAAATCTGACCCCCGGGGCCTGTTGCCCCCGAATGTTTGGCAACCACCCCTGGGGTGGGTAAGTAAGTGGGTAAGTGGGCCCTCTGGGTAAAGGGCCCACAGTAAGTAACTCGATCACGGCCAAATCAACACTACCAGGGGCAGACAGAGATGAGGGATGATGAGTGTTGGGGTTTGAGGACAGACAACCACGGGGGGCTAATCTGCAGCAACAGGCCCGTTGATTATACAAATTCCGCACATGGTGCTTGCTAGGTTGCCGGGGGAATTCTGGTTTTAAAGGGGTTGGCAAGGCAAAATGTGCCTTTATCCTTGTAGACTGCCTTTTTGGAACTTTTCAAAGCCGTAAAAAACTGGTGTCGACCACTTTTGGATTTTAGCCAATGTAATCCGCAAAATTCTCTGC